ATCGTCTTCTCTACTGTTCCTGCCTACTTTCTGTATTCGACTGAAGAAGCCTACTGTGTAGGCGAAACGTTTCGGAATAAAGTTGCCTAACTGTTGCCTGTGTGTCTTACCTACCAACCTGTCGGTATTGTATACCATTTCGATGTTCATCTTGTCAGACACTGCAACACATAGCATCTTGATACAGAAAACACCTTGGACAAACTTTTCAAGTGAGAATTGTTGGATCTGAGAGGGACCTGACCTTTCAGGGGTTACATTCTCACTACTACTACTACTCCTTCCGACAGTATTTAAGTCGCTTGATCTTCAGATAGTTCCTGACTATGGAACTGAACTTCTCCAGGCCGAGGGACTGACAACCTCAAGTTCTACGACTTTAAGGGTGATGGACTGATTACATCGTCTTCTCTACTGTTCCTGCCTACTTTCTGTATTCGACTGAAGAAGCCTACTGTGTAGGCGAAACGTTTCGGAATAAAGTTGCCTAACTGTTGCCTGTGTGTCTTACCTACCAACCTGTCGGTATTGTATACCATTTCGATGTTCATCTTGTCAGACACTGCAACACATAGCATCTTGATACAGAAAACACCTTGGACAAACTTTTCAAGTGAGAATTGTTGGATCTGAGAGGGACCTGACCTTTCAGGGGTTACATTCTCACTACTACTACTACTCCTTCCGACAGTATTTAAGTCTCCGCACTGTCGCTTGATCTTCAGATAGTTCCTGACTATGGAACTGAACTTCTCCAGGCCGAGGGACTGACAACCTCAAGTTCTATGACTTTAAGGGTGATGGACTGATTACATCGTCTTCTCTACTGTTCCTGCCTACTTTCTGTATTCGACTGAAGAAGCCTACTGTGTAGGCGAAACGTTTCGGAATAAAGTTGCCTAACTGTTGCCTGTGTGTCTTACCTACCAACCTGTCGGTATTGTATACCATTTCGATGTTCATCTTGTCAGACACTGCAACACATAGCATCTTGATACAGAAAAACACCTTGGACAAACTTTTCAAGTGAGAATTGTTGGATCTGAGAGGGACTGACCTTTCAGGGGTTACATTCTCACTACTACTACTACTCCTTCCGACAGTATTTAAGTCTCCGCACTGTCGCTTGATCTTCAGATAGTTCCTGACTATGGAACTGAACTTCTCCAGGCCGAGGGACTGACAACCTCAAGTTCTACGACTTTAAGGGTGATGGACTGATTACATCGTCTTCTCTACTGTTCCTGCCTACTTTCTGTATTCGACTGAAGAAGCCTACTGTGTAGGCGAAACGTTTCGGAATAAAGTTGCCTAACTGTTGCCTGTGTGTCTTACCTACCAACCTGTCGGTATTGTATACCATTTCGATGTTCATCTTGTCAGACACTGCAACACATAGCATCTTGATACAGAAAACACCTTGGACAAACTTTTCAAGTGAGAATTGTTGGATCTGAGAGGGACCTGACCTTTCAGGGGTTACATTCTCACTACTACTACTACTACTCCTTCCGACAGTATTTAAGTCTCCGCACTGTCGCTTGATCTTCAGATAGTTCCTGACTATGGAACTGAACTTCTCCAGGCCGAGGGACTGACAACCTCAAGTTCTACGACTTTAAGGGTGATGGACTGATTACATCGTCTTCTCTACTGTTCCTGCCTACTTTCTGTATTCGACTGAAGAAGCCTACTGTGTAGGCGAAACGTTTCGGAATAAAGTTGCCTAACTGTTGCCTGTGTGTCTTACCTACCAACCTTTTATGTTAAGTAATCTGTTCTGATAATACAATTTTTTTGACCTTCTTATCAAGTTGGTAAGGATTGACGAGTAATGTTTAGAATGGTCTCTGATTATTTGACCCATTCTGTACTGTTTTTCATATAGGTGCTTTGTGTTAATATATTTAAGGATGCTGGGTGTTAGCTAGGGACTGTTCAGTCTATTAGCTGTGATCTGTTTAGTTTTTTAGTGCAATGCTTGTTATAGAGGTAGTGTTTTTTTTTTTAGAAAATTATTAATACATTCATCAGTATCTGTATATGTTTCTAGCTCATTATGCCAGTTAATGTTAATCATAGCTGTTATAAAGTTATTAACTGCTGTTTCATTATGTAATCTGAAGGTAACTTTAGTTGTGTTTTGGGGCAATTTACCTAGGTTGGTTATGAGGAAGGTAGGGTAGTGGTCTGTGGTGTTGTATGTGATTATGCTTGATTTTAAAAGGGATATGGTGTTAGTCCAGATGTGGTCTAATAAGGAGATACTAGTCTCATAGATTCTTGTAGGTTTTGTTATTGTTGGTAGCAACAAGCAGTTGCTCGTAGTGTTTGTGAATTCGGTTACTTGTGGGTCCTGGTCATGTAGGAGATTTATGTTGAAATCTCCTGTGAGCAGCAAGTGGTCTTTGTTTATGTGTGCATCTGTTATCATGTTTCCTAGTTTTTCACTAAAATGGTTAATGTTTGACTGTGGTACTCTGTAGATGTTTATCACTGTGAGGGTTTTTTGCAGGTCTTTTGATTTAAATTTAGCTATAATATATTCTCCATGTTTGTCCCTTGTGCAAGGATTAATGATACATTCAAGTTGATCTGAGTAGTATATAGCTGTTCCACCTCCTTACTGGTCTGTCCTACAGTTGTGTATGGCTGTGTAACCAGGAATGGCATAGACATCTGTAGTGCCAGGCTTTAGCCAGGTTTCTGTGAGTATGATGACTGACATACTGGAATGAAGGGAATTGAGTAATGCCGTGAGGTCATCGTAATGTTTGCTTAAAGATCTGTTATTGTAATTAAAGATAGTTATGTTATTGTTGACTCTGAGTAATGTCTTTGCTTGGTCTGCTGTATAATAATTACAGTTGCTGTTGGATGCATGTAAGTCATTTAATAAAAGGAATAAGTGGAATAAGAATCTTTCCTCCGTAAGTTATGCGTGTTGTAAAAGTCAACTAAAATGCCGGGAACAATGGGCTAGTAACCCCTTTTCCTGTAATAATTACTAAAAAGAATAAGAAGAAGAAAATTGTCAAGATAAGTTGTGTATCTTTATACGTATATACTTCTAAACTGTTGTATTCTGAGCACCTCTGCAAAAACAGTGATTATGTGTGAGTGAGGTGTAAGTGTTGAATGATGATGAAAGTATTTTCTTTTTGGGGATTTTCTTCCTTTTTGGGTCACCCTGCCTTGGTGGGAGATGGCCGACTTGTTAAAAAAAAAAAATCAGGATCAATGCTTGTAATCATATGATTGAGTGTGATTCTATGACTAGATTTTTTAACAAAGTATTATGCTAAACTTAATATTATGAAACTAAACTTATCTTACTAGCTAATGGATTGCTTCAGGTAGTTTTAAAATTTTTTTAAGAGATACAGTTAACTCTTAATATGGTACAATTTGATGATTTAATATTGAATAGTTGTATTAATAGAGTTTGACAAAGAATGTTTGTTGATTTAGAATAGAAATTTACTGAACACAATAACCTTATTTATACAGCATTTGGAGTTGGTTTAATATTTTTACAATTTTCCTGGTATACAACAGGATGGTTAATGTTATACTGTATGAATAACTAAAGTGTAATGAACACTTGTCACTGCTCAATAATAACCCACATGGAGACAGAAACGCTGTATATTTATTAATTTGCCTTTACAATGAATTTACATGAAGGGTCAGTGTTTATTTTAACCCTTTGAGGGCCGACGAGCCCTCTCCGAGACTCGTTCTCAGGGTCAGCCAAATTTAAAAAAAAAAATAATAATTTTCTCTTATGAAAAGATAGAGAATCTTTTCCCGATCATAATGACACCAAAAGTTTGAAATTTGATGGAAAACTTACGGAATTATGCTCTCGCGAAGTTAGCGGTCTCGGCGATGTTTACGCATCGGTGATTTTGCCCACTTTGAGCCCCATTTTCGGCCAATTCCACTGTACTAGTCGAAAAAAAACATGAATATTTCGCTAGAACTCCATTTTTTCTATCGAATGAGTGCAAGTAACCACCCATTTATCAATTTCAACTATCCAGTACAGTGGTCAGAATTTAGCAATTTTGCCAATTTCACACAAATTTCAAAAGATGCCAATTTCCGAATAGGGTCCAGAATAAACAAGAAAGACATTCCTGGCACTAAAATGACATTTCCTCTGTTCATTAGTCACGTCTCAAGGCCCCTCTTATATTCTTTTGCTTTCCACTTTGAATTTTTATTTTCACAAAAAATAGAAGATTTACTGTTATGCAGACTACTGCATTAGTGTAAAAAATGGTATAAATAATATTGGCACACTTGCGAAAGAATATTAGACTCGCCAGTTGACGTGTATTGGACGCTTGGTGATTTGTTTACTTTTGAACTTTGGTAAAAATCGAACATTTCTGCTACTTTGAGCTCAATTTCAAGGTACTTTTCATTGTAAAACCAGTCAAAATCATCTCAATTTCTGTAATATGTCTTCCATTCTATAAAATGAGACCAAGAAAACTAGAATACACCAATAAATACCATACAAAAATACAGTGCAAAGTTGCTGTTTTATTCCCAAAAAACGGTCAAAGTTTTTTTTTCTCATTATGCACTGTGTGCTGCAGGATTTTTTTTATACTGTGCACACTGACCACATAGACCCATTCTTTCATATGTAGGCCTACCAGCTTTCTCCCACTAGATTTGAGGGTGCTAGAATTTAGGCGTACTAGTACGTCAAAAACCCTGGGTCGTAAGCCGTACTAGAATGGCTGAAACCCTCAAAGGGTTAAATAAGAATCTTGATAATATAATACATGAAAATATTCCATAAACTTCTTAACTAAAAAAATAACACTTTTATGAAGGTTGTTGTGCCATTTAAAAAGTGATGAAGCATATAAGTTTTGTTGTGAAAGGGAATTGTTGTATTACCCAGTGGTAATTTAATTGATATTTAACATGAGTTTTAAAAAAAAAAAAATTTTATAAACATTTTGCCCCATTTGTTTCAGAACCTGACGAGTGACTTCCGGGTCACATACAGCAAATTCTGGCTAAGCATCCTCAATGCAAATCTCAATGAAATTCGACAGTATGGAACAGAATTGGGTGTTGGGGAACTGTATGGGTTGTTTGCATGCATGGTCACTGGACGCTCCTGGAATTCCATTGCAAAGGGTATTGACAAAATGGAAAGATCATCAACAGAGGTTGGTATTATACAATCTGCAGTGCTCGTATGGCCTCATTCATGTAGTAAAGTTAAAATTCTCTCCTTGAGCTCATTCAGGAAGCAAAACCATTTTGAATTTTTTTTTTTTTTTTGTTAAATGATATTGAATAACAGTTGCATTCACACTGACAGATGCTTCAGTCTTGGCTGTTGTGTAGGGTATATAAAACTCTTTCTGTAAAGTCACTTGACTTTCATCATTCTAATCTACCTATATAAATGCTGCAGCAAGGAGGCACCTGGAAGTAGTGAAGATATCCTGTCTAAGGGCAATGTGTGGTGTAAATATTATGCAGAGAAATTCGTAGTGTGGAAATTAGGAGGTGTGGAGTTACTAAAAGTATTAGTCAGAGGGCTGAAGAGGGGTTGTTGAGGTTGTTTGGTCATTTAGAGAGAATGGAGCAAAGTAGAATGATTTGGAAAATGTATAAATCTGTAGGGGAAGGAAGGTAGAGGTAGGGGTCATCCTCGAAAAGGTTAGAGGGAGGGGGTAAAGGAGGTTTTGTGGGAGAGGGGCTTGGACTTCCAGCAAGTGTGCATGAGCGTGTTAGATAGGAGTGAATGGAGACAAATGGTTTTTGGGACTTAACGAGCTGTTGGAGTGTGAGCAGGGTAATATTTTGTGAAGGGATTTAGGGAAACCAGTTAGCTGGACTTGAGTCCTGGAAATAGGAAGTACAGTGCCTGCACTTTGAAAGGGGTTTGGGATATTGGCAGCTTAGAGTGGCTATCTAAACTGTTGTATCTGGGCACCTCTGCAAAGACAGTGATTATGTATGAGTGATGGTGAAAGTGTTGAATGATAATGAAAGTTTTTTCTTTCTTTTTGGATTTTTCTTTCTTTTGGGTCACCCCTGCCTTAGTGGGAAATGGCTGATGTGTTAAAAATATATATATACGTACAGTGGACCCCCGGATTATGTAGTCATCGGATTTCGTAATGTTTGGAACAGGTAACGTTTTTTTGTCAAAATATTGGCTCAGTGATCATCACTGAATTCAGTAATAGTCATTTGTCCCCAACGTGTCTGCGCGGCCCAAGCAGCCTGACACCATTTACAGCCAGTGTGCCATTATTTATCAGCCAGTGAGGAGAATCCCACGCGTTCATATTATACATTTTGTATTATTCTATTCTTTTTAGTGCTTGCAACTGCTAAATAAGCCACCATGGGCCAAAAGAAAGCTCCTAGTGCCAGCCCTTTGGTAAAGAAGGCGATAAACACGATAGAATTTAAGAAAGAACACACTAGCCAGGGTACTTCCCCACACACACCAGCCAGGGCACTTCCCTACACATCAGCCAGGGTATTTCCCCACACACCAGACAGGGTACTTCCCCACACACGATTTGATTTGAGTGGGACTTGCGCATGAGTAAATAGAATTATCAAAGCTTATTGCTGGGGAAGCATTGAAAATTGGGTTGGGCAAATACGATTCTGTTAGTGGGATGGTTTCTGAAGGACCTGCCTAGTATGGGCCAACAGGTCTTCTGCAGTGTTCCTGCTTTCTTATGTACACCAGCCAGGGTACTTCCCCACAGACACCAACCAGGGCACTTCCCCACTCACCAGCCATGGTACTTACCCACACACCAGACAGGGCACTTCCCCACACACGATTTGATTTGAGTGGGACTTACACATGAGTGAATAGAATTATCAAAGCTTATTGCTTGGGAAGCATTGAAAATTGGGTTGAACATAAGAATGGAGGAACACTGCAGAAGGCCTACTGGCCGATACAAAGCAGGTCCTTATCAAAACGACCCCTACCCAAAGATACCCAAGAATTACTGGTGTTGTGCCAGAGTTGTGGAAGCTGGCTAATGTGGTTCCTATATTCAAATCAGGGGTTAAGTCCATTCCTTCAAATTACCATTCAATAATCCTGACATCTATAGTGGGCAAGTTACTAGAATCAATTATAGCTGACATTATTAGAAGTCACCTTGAAGAACATAACTTGATAAATGAATCTCAGCATGGGTTCACGAGAGGTCGTTCCTGCCTGACAAATTTACTGACGTTCTTCAATAGAACATTTAAGGCAGTAGACAGTGATGAAGAATATGATATTGTTTATTTGGATTTTAGTAAAGCCTTCAATAGAGTACCTCACAAGAGACTCTTAAGAAAAGTGGCAGCTCATGGTATAGGAGGTAAAGTTCTAGCATGAATAGAGGCATGGCTTACCAATAAAAAGCAGAGTTTCGATTAATGGGGTCAAATCTGAATGGGGATTAGTCACTAGTGGCATTCCACAAGGATCAGTTTTAGGCCATCTCTTGTTCATAATTTACATAATGACCTTGATGAAGGATTACGAGTGACATGAGCAAATTTGCTGATGATACAAAGGTAGGCCGTATGATTCATTCTGAGGAGGATAGCAATGAACTCCAGGAGGATTTGGACAAATTAATGTCTTGGTCTGAAAAATGGCAGATAAAGTTCAATGTGGATAAGTGTAAGGTACTAGTCCTTGGTAATGAAAATAACCCTCGAAGCTATAAACTAGGTGAAGTAGAGCTTGATCATACAGAATGTGAAAAAGACTTGGGAGTCACGGTAAGCAGAAACCTGAAGCCAAGACAGCAGTGCCTAAGTGTGTGCAACAATGCTAACAGATTACTTGGATTTATTACAGCTCTGTACATCACCAGTGAGTCCTCATTTAGATTATGCTGCTCAGTTTTGGTCTCCTTACTACAGGATGGATATAGATTCATTAGAGAACATACAGAGAAGAATGACTAAAATGATTTACTGTGTAAGGAACCTCCCGTATGAAGATAGACTTAAAGCCTTAAATCTCCACTCTCTGGAGAGACATAGAATGAGAAAAGATATCATTGAAGTGTATAAGTGGAAGATAGTCATAAACAAAGTAGATATTAATAAAGTACTGAGGGTGTCAAACCAGGTAAGAACCAGAAATAATGGATTTAAGTTGGATAAATTTAGATTTAGATTTTTTTTTTTCAAACAATTTTGCAGAGAATAAAGTATTATTTTGGGGAGAGATCAATAAGTTAAGGAAGCCTGAAGAGCAAATGGACTTAGCAGTTTAAAATGAAAGAAAGTATATGTTAGATGGTAAGGTGGAGATATTGGAAAGCTGGAGAGGATACTTTGACAAGTTGTTGAATGTTAATGATGAAGGAGAGGAGGTGGTTTCATGCATTGGATAGGGAAGGATAACATCATATAGGAGCATGGAGGTGCCTGAGATAGATGTGGGGCAAGTGTTTGAGGCAGTGGATAGAATGCAAGGAGGTAAAGAGGCTGGGATAGATGGAATTAAGACAAAGATATTAAACAAGTGGGGAATATAGGGTTGGAGTGGTTGGCATATTTGTTCAAAATATGCATGAAAGAAGGGAAGCTACCAAAGGATTGGCAGGAGATACCTGTTGAGTTGGAAAAAAAAAAAGACTTGTTGAGTATACCTGGAATAGTATACTGTAGAAGCATTATTGAAAGGGTCAGGGGTAAGACAAAGTAGCATTGCAGAGGAGCAGAGAGGATAAAGGAACTGTAGATGATGTGTATATACGTGAAGCATATATGTGAGCTGTACTTAAATAAGGGTAAAAGGTATTATTTGCATTTATGGCTTTAGAATAAGCATTTGATAGGGTGGATAAGTGAGCTATGTGACAGATGTTGCAGATATATGGAATAGGAGGTAGGTTACTAAAAGCAGTTAAAAAGTTATAATGCAGCAAATGAGGCTCAGGTTAGGGTATATAGGAGGGAGGAAGATTATTTTTCAGTGAAAGCAGGACTTGGACTAGGATGCATGATGTTACCAGCATTGTTTAACATATTTATAGATGGGGTTGCAAAATTAGTGCTAGGGTGTTGGGAAAGGGGTGTGTAATTAAAAAATGTTGGATTCAATGGAAAGAGTTACCACAGTTGCTTTAATGCTGATAACACTTCTTTTGGGGATTCTGAAAGTGAGTTGTAAAGGTTGGCAGATGAATTTGAGATGGTATGTTAAAAAAAGGAAATTGAAAGAAAGCATAGAAAAGAGAAAGGTGATGAGGGTAACAAAAAAATGTAGGCAATGATAGATTGAATATGGTATTGGAAGCATGGAGTATGGAGGAAGTAGATGTAATTAGATATTTGGGAGCAAATATGTCAGCCAGTAGGTCACTGAAACAGAGTGAACCATAGGAGATGAGGATAAAATGTTGGGTGGTGTGTTGTGGTATCTGGAAAGAAAGGTTTATTGAGTGAGGAAAAAATAGGGAATGTGCCAGAGTATAGTTGTATCAACACTTTTATATGGGTAGGAGGGATGGGTTTTTAATATTGCAGGAGAAGGAGGCTAGAGGCAGTGAAGATCTCATGTCTAAGATATCATGCAGAGAAATTGGATTGTAGAAATTAAAAGGCAATGTAGGGGGTTTATCAAGGGTATAATTTAAAGAGGGGTGAGGAGGGGTTGTTGAAGTGGTCTGGGCATGTGGAGAGGGATACGATGATGAAGAGGGTGTATAAATCTGGGGTGGAATGTAGGAGAGTTAGAGATCTTCCCAGGAAAGTTTGTCGGGAGGAAGGGGGGTAAAGGATAATTTTGAGTTTTAGGAGCTAGAGCATCCAACAGACTGTTGTGAGCATGTTACATAGAAGTGAATGGACATTTACATAGACATTTATTAGACATTTTAATAGACTGTTAACCTGACCTATAGCTTGGGTAAATAGTCACTATATACACAAGAAAAATGACAGACCATTGGGCAAAAATGAGGATGTTTGTTAATGGAAATTTTTAACATGCCAGCCATCTCCCACTGAGGTAAGGTGATACGAAAAAGAGGAAACACCTAGGTGGCACCCAAATTGCATCAACCCCACCTCTCTTTTGGAGTGCAGGCACTGTACTTCCCACTTAGAGGACTAAAGTTTGGCTAACTGGTTACTTTGAATCCCTTTATAACTAATACCTTGCTCAAACTCCAACACCACATTAAGTCATAAGAAACACATGCCTTCACACCTATCTGATGTGGTCTCAAGTCTGTTGGATGACCAAGCCTCTGCCACTCAAGATCTTTGCTCCCTCCCTCCAAGTTTTCCTGGGATGACAACTTCCTTTACATTATTACTTACATTTAATTATGAATCACTTCAGAATATCTTGCTTTGTCTCTGAATTTTCTCTTCTTCATTGTTCCTGTGCTTCTTTTTGTGTTTGCTTCCTCTAATAGCAGAAACTAACTGTTTGAGTGTACTGTTATCCTTCACACTGTAAATCTTAGATGTTTAATGATGCAGCAGAGTAATTTATTTTTCCTTTACATCTCAGCTAACATTTGTAGTAGAATTACATGGTAATAGGTGGTAATGTCATTCAAGATTATTTTAGTCATTTGTATTTAAACCCAAAAACTTACTGCATTCATTTTGTTGCCTTCTAAGTTCTTGTATAATAATTAGTTTATACAGCACTTGCATTTACACTATTGATGTTGCAGCAAAATGAGATCAAAGCTAGTGCTGCAAGCTACCTACCACAGATTTCTGCTGTGTTGAATCGTGTTCCTCGTCAGATGCTTCTTATCTTCAAGACCAATGATTTACTTAGGGGCATTGAGTTTTCTCTCAACACACAGGAAAGGTAGTTAAGTATTTTGTAGTTATAACATTTTTATCATCATTCATATTTTTGGAAGTATGAATGCTTTTATGTTTACTGTATTTCAGTTGTAAACAAACATGTTGAAAATGTATCTAGTACTAAAAATGCAGTATAGAGAATAAGTAAAATCTATTTTATGTAGATTCACAAGTAACAACCGTTATTTCTTGCAAAACCCCCCAAAAAAATATTCAGAGGTCATTATTATTCTTAGCTAGGCAAGTTGGGCAGGCAGTTTTGTAGTTGATGTAGCTCAGTTCTATTGAAAGTTGTTAACCCTTAAACTGTCCAAACGTAGATCTATGTTTTCACGCATAGCGCTCCGACCTTGATTTTCTCCATAAGAAAGAGTTTAAAAAAAAAACGTAGATCTACGTTTGGACAGTTTAAGGGTTAATAATAGGAATAAATATTTTTTCAAGCAATCTTAATTACTTCTAAGTATTGAAGAGTATTTCCTTAGTCTTAACCACCTTTTTGTGCTGTAATATATATTGTAATTTTCATGTTTTTAATAGTGTACTATATTTATTTTCTCATTTTTCAGTATGAAGTCATTTATCACAATGTCACGATGTTGCATACGGTCGCTGTTTGCTCACCAGCGCACACTTTGTAAGTCTACTCTTTGCACTGTGAGAGTGAGCATTGCAGAGACCTGGGCACAGTTTAAGATCTCTCTCTACACCCTTTATCTACTATATCTTCACTCAAACCTAGGTAAATATATCCATAAGAAGTGGATGACCAATGAAGGTGGTATTACTTTGAACTACACTTAGAATGTACAAAATCTTGACAGTCTGTATTTACTGACATTCTGGAAATAGTAAGAATGTGCATTCATAGCAATACTCATTATATTGTTTCATTAATTTAATTATGCTTTTTAAATTTTATTTTTAATTTAATGTATTCTTACACAATATATTCATTTGTTTAGTTTTTGTATGATCACCCACATTTTTCCATTCTGTTTTTCAAGTAAAGGAAACACTGTTACGGTAAGCCCTCAATTTAATTGATTAACCCCTTGAGGGTCCATGCCATAGTTCTACAGTTTTGAAGCCAGGGTCAGTGCCGTAGTAGTACATCATGAGCTCAGCTTACTCAGATAAACTGTGGTAAATTTGGGCCTCGATATGAGAGAATGCATCTATATGGTAAGTGTGCCCCATATAAAACAAATCCTGTAGCACACAGTGCATAATGAGAAAAAAAATGTGACCGTGTTTTTGGATTAAAACAGTGGCTTTGCAGTGTATTATTGTATGGTTGTTACAGTTGTATTCGCAGTTTCTTGGTCTTATTTGATAGAATGGAAAATATCTTACAGAAAATAGCTTGAAATTGAGCTCAAAGCAGCGGAAATGTTCGATTTTTGCCGATGTTCAAGACTAAACATATGACATCACTCATCCAATACATGTCAGCTGGTGGGTCTGATGTGCATTCACAAATGCACTAATATTATTTGTACAATCATTACAATATTGCATAACGGTAAATCTTCTTTTTTTTTTTGGTGAATAAAAATTCTTCATGTGAATAAAAAATCAAAATGGAATTCATCTGTAAAGCCTGGAAACATAACTAATAAATAGAGGAAATGTTATTTTAGTGCCAGGAATGCCTGGACCCTATTTTGAAATTTGAATATTTTGAACTTTGTGTGAAATTGGCCAAATTACCAATTTCTGATCACTTTATTGGGTAGTCGAAATACAGCCTCTCCTCACTTAACGACGGAATTCTGTTTCTAGACCACATCAGTAAACAAATTCATTGCTAAGTGAGGAGCATGCTATAATCGTAGTGGGTTTGTGTCAATTATCTTTGATATTGTTTTAATGTCACCTTTGCACCATTTATAACATTTCTGGTATATTTTTAAATGTTTATACAGTAGTACATTGGACCCCCGAGTTTCGTGATTAATCCGTTCCAGAGAGTCTGCCGACTGGCGAAATTCACGATTGGTGAATCTATTTTCCCCATAAGAAATAATGGAAACCCAATTATTATTATTATTATAATCAAAAAGAAGCGCTAAGCTGGAAACCCAATTAATCCATTTCAGACAGCCAAAAGTATTAACAAAACAATATAGATTTACATACAGAAAACAATGACGAATAAATATAAAGCACTAATAAAATGGATAAATGAACATTTAACACTAATAAAATGGATAAATGAACATTGATTCTTGTTGGTGTAGGAGGTAGGTAGGAGACAAGAGGAAGGCGAGTTTATTATGCTTCAATTTGACACTAATATCATCTCTGTGGCTTATTTATCTATCACAATTCAAATAATATGACATTATAATCAATATTAATAACATAGAAACATGATATATACTCTAGAATGAATAAAATGTCATAATGTATGAAAGGAGTAAATGGTGTAAGTGTTGTTGTTGGGTTTAAGGGCCGCCACTGAGAGAAGCCGTGTTGGTGGCGGTGGAGGCTTTGGCCACCACCACCATCACACTTAAACAATGTATGTAATTTATAAATAAGAATCAAATTCAAAATGGGAATTGACACAGTTACTTTTTGCTGATGATACTGTGCTTATGGGAGATTCTAAAGAAAAATTGCAAAGGTTAGTGGATGAGTTTGAGAATGTGTGTAAAGGTAGAAAGTTGAAAGTGAACATAGAAAAGAGTAAGGTGATGAGAGTATCAAATGATTTAGATAAAGAAAAATTGGATATCAAATTGGGGAGGAGGAGTATGGAAGAAGTGAATGTTTTCAGATACTTGGGAGTTGACGTGTCGGCGGATGGATTTATGAAGGATGAGGTTAATCATAGAATTGATAAGGGAAAAAAGGTGAGTGGTGCATTGAGGTATATGTGGAGTCAAAAAACGTTATCTATGGAGGCAAAGAAGGGAATGTATGAAAGTATAGTAGTACCAACACTCTTATATGGATGTGAAGCTTGGGTAGTAAATGCAGCAGCGAGGAGACGGTTGGAGGCAGTGGAGATGTCCTGTCTAAGGGCAATGTGTGGTGTAAATATTATGCAGAAAATTCGGAGTGTGGAAATTAGGAGAAGGTGTGGAGTTAATAAAAGCATTAGTCAGAGGGCAGAAGAGGGGTTGTTGAGGTGGTTTGGTCATTTAGAGAGAATGGATCAAAGTAGAATGACATGGAAAGCATATAAATCTATAGGGGAAGGAAGGAGGGGTAGGGGTCGTCCTCGAAAGGGTTGGAAAGAGGGGGTAAAGGAGGTTTTGTGGGTGAGGGGCTTGGACTTCCAGCAAGCGTGCATGAGCGTGTTAGATAGGAGTGAATGGAGACGAATGATACTTGGGACCTGACAATCTGTTGGAGTGTGAGCAGGGTAATATTTAGTGAAGGGATTCAGGGAAACCGGTTATTTTCATATAGTCGGACTTGAGTCCTGGAAATGGGAAGTACAATGCCTGCACTTTAAAGGAGGGGTTTGGGATATTGGCAGTTTGGTGGGATATGTTGTGTAACTTAATACGTATATGCTTCTAAACTGTTGTATTCTGAGCACCTTTGCAAAAGCAGTGATAATGTGTGAGTGTGGTGAAAGTGTTGAATGATGATGAAAGTATTTTCTTTTTGGGGATTTTCTTTCTTTTTTGGGTCACCCTGCCTCGGTGGGAGACGGCCGACTTGTTGAAAAAAAAAAATTACATTTTAATTTATAAATAAGAAATATTTACATTTTAATTTAGAAATAAATAAGTTTATTCAGGTATACACAAATACAGTTACGTAGATTATCATACATAGCAGCATATGTGTAAAGTACCCAGGATAACCCAAAAAATTCAAGAGTGACATACTTCCATTGGTGTCCTTTTATATTTACACATATTTACTTTTATACTTACACTTTTATATTTACACTTACCTTGGAGATGTTAGTTAGTTTGATGAAGGAGATGTTGGCAGAGGTTTAGGGTGGTGGAAGATAGCAGAGCAGTGTATGTTCAGTGGTCCTATACACATCCAACAACATTGGAGAGTTACTCTCATGTTGTTTTTCTATCATTTACTCACTTAACTTACTTGCTACACTGTTAATTCTACACTTTATCGCTGGCTGGAGCTGTAGCCTTTATCGATACCTGCTGCTTTAGTATCATACATATTGTAGAATCACTGAATCACTGCTGAAGACACATTCTCCCCTCTCTCTTCCTCCTCCTCTACTTTAGTACTTTGCTATGAGTTTTTTCTTGAATTCTATCGTGTTTCTCACCTTTACCAAAGGGTTGGCACTAGGAGCTTTCTGCCCCATGGTGGCTTATTTAGCAGTTGCAAGCACAAAAAAAATGAATTATTATGAAATGTGTTGTATGAACCCGTGGGGTGATGGTCACATGCTGGTAAACAATGGCACACTGTACACAAATAACCCGCACATAAAAGAGAGAAGCTTACGACGACGTTTCGGTCCGACTTGGACCATTGACAAAGTCACACTAACCAGAGGTGGAGCAGGACGGCTATATATAGGCAGGAAGAGGTGGTGGTGGTAGTAGTAGTAGTAGTAGTAGTAGTAGTAGTAGTAGTAGTAGTAGTACAAGAATTGTATATAATACCGACAAGATGAAATTAAGACATGCACAACACCCGGGCATCCCCATCATAGACGTTTTGCCATCCAGCCAGCCACTGGATGGCAAAATGTCCACAACAAAGACAACCAGATGCCGCACATGTGTCTTAATTTCATCAGTAGTTGTAGTAGTACAGTGGACCCCCGCATAACGATCACCTCCGAATGCGACCAATTATGTAAGTGTATTTATGTAAGTGCATTTGTACGTGTATGTTTGGGGGTCTGAAATGGACTAATCTACTTCACAATATTCCTTTTGGGAATAAATTCGGTCAGTACTGGCACCTGAACATACTTCTGGAGTGAAAAAATATCGTTAACCGGGGGTCCACTGTAGTAGAAGAAGAAGAGGTAGCAGTAGTGGTAGTGGTAGAAGTGGGAAATAAAAAGGACGAGCCAGTCAAATACAAAGGAAGGGGAGCACTGCAAGAGAGCTAGATGCCCACAGAGGGAGAGCAAGCGCACAGAGGTACGTGAAAGAGAAGTGGTGAAATAAATGAAGAAGGAACAGAAACACGGGACAGGAGAGAGAAAGACAACCCAGAGGAGAAAAGGAAAGAGGAAAGGGGAAGAGGAAGAAGAAGAAAAAGAAAAAGAAAAAATGAGGATTCAGGTTAAGTCACGGGTGTTCTGAAGTTTATAGCATTTTCCAATGTAGTGGGAGAGGAAGGCATCTACAGAGACGAAGCCAGGGCTAAGGTTCATTGAAGGAAAGTTGTGTATTAGAGAGGATTCAACTAGACGACGACTGTTCGAGTTGGAAGTAGGGAAGACAGTTTTAGCAGAAGACCAGTCAATAGGATGGCTATGATCTCTGACGTGACAGAAAAGAGCATTGTTAGTGTCGGCAAGCCTAACACTATGACATCTTTGCTCTGTGGCCTCATGACTCCAGTCTCTTCCAACCTTTTCTTGAAGCTCTTAATAATCTTGCCCCTTCCATTAAGTTTAAAGCTGAATGGGAATCTAATTCCTTGCTTCCTTTCCTTGATGTCCATGTCCACCGCTCAGATACAGGTTTTTCCTTTTCCGTTTACCGTAAACCTATGCACAGTGGCATGTACATTCACTACTTTTCCTATCATGCTTTCCCTGTCAAGAAAAGTGTT